AATCAGAGGGTAGTTTAAGTGGAACATGTGGGTGTGGGTGTCTCAAACTACCACTCGCATGAAACCGATGCTTATCACTACTATCCATTGTTAGTGGTTTTCTTTTCGTAGATGAGGTCTCTTTCATATTCGCTGCTTATTCATTCCCATACGTTATTCGTTTTGACTATTTTGCATCAACACTATCTGAAGAGTGGATGTGTCAAAGTAACATAAAGCATCGTAAAGGTTCTGTTGAGTTTATGTGAAACAATGCGTGAATCCTACTATTCTGCGAGATATCATACCTAGAGCTACCAAACACTCCCTACAGAGTTGGCGCAACTTTGTTTCGTTAAAGACACCGTGCGAAAATAAGAGTGGAAGTTGAGAATGACGTGTGAAAAAGTGCAAAAAAATACCTATGTTTGCTAATGACTTGCAGGCACAAACAATGTTCCATGAATGGTAATACTGAGCTTGAATGGAGGCTGGCTCGTGTAGAGGTTGCACTCGGGGTGCTTGAGTCGTTTCCACTCTCAAGGGCCTTATCTTAATGTCGCAGAATCTTAGGCTTGCTTCTGGCGGAGTAGTACAGTGCTACACGTGCTGAGTGCCAAACGCATTTTTCAAACAGCAATATAATCCTCAAATACTAACGGCGTTCTTAACACGTTGACGACAGTGCCGCGCAATGGTGTGCGGCGGCCTTTATTTCAATACTATCAGTCCAATCACCTTAATTCTTGTTCATATACTCAACATAGGCTCAGACGTACTTTATGTATTAGCCCCGCCCCTTTTGGCAAACTCCGCCCACTCCCATGCCTCTCACAAGAACCCTTTTTTGTTCATAAAAAGCATGGATGAGGCCGTAGATGAACGCAAAAACCTCAAACAACTTTTAGCAAGGCCCCGCCCACCGTCAGGCAAACCCCGCCCCCCAAGTGGTAAGCACCGCCCATTTTTCAAAAGTGGCGGAATTCGCATGAATTCTTGAAATTTGGGCAATTTCCTACATTTTTGGCCGAGTGGGCGGAGCTTCCCACATGGGGGCGGGGCTTGCACATTTTGTATTTCGTGCATGGATACATGCATACATACATGGGGCCAGGCGTGGGGATGCACGGGAACGTCTTGTCCACAAGGACAGACCTCCAAAAAATGGCTCGTCGTCAACGTGTTAAAGGCAGTGGCTCAGCAAATCTCAACATAGTCAAATTTTCGCTTACATGAGGTTATTCAACACGCTGATTCCGAAAATCCACTTTTGATAGCTTGAAAATGCCAAAAACGAGCGTTTTTCAATGTCCTTCCCTTTGGAATTGGACGAGTGCTGCAAGGCTGATGACGCCGAATCGTTGCAGGACTCAATGGTTTTAGCTGCGGCGGGCAGCCTTCACTGGTGAGAAGGAAATTGCCAACTCGTCCAGATGCGTGTAAGAATGGCCTGCGCGTGTAAGTTTGAGAACAATTTCCTCGGCAAGCAAGGCATGCTGTGCAACCGGGATTGCACTGTCTTCATACTTGGGCAATAAGGAATCTACCGCGTTAAAATTTTGAGTTGTTGAGTTTTGCCGAGCCACTGCCTTTGAGCAGCACTGACCGAGATCTTGTATGCTTCGTGGAGACCATGCCAGCCATCTCCGAGTTTACTGTTATTCCTTCGGCATCAACAACTTTGTGTTCTTGGAAAAAAAAAACTGTACTCAAGCAATACTGCTTACCTTACCTTTATTGTAATTATTACGCAAAGACGATGGAAGGGAAACTTTGGACTTACTCTGAACCATACTTATAGGTAGGACTAAGGTTCTATAGAACAAGATCAAATGCTCACGAAACATATCCATCCGGTGCGTACCAATCGATGACAATACTATCCACATCAACAATTTTTACATTGACTTTAAATCCAGAAATGCTCAAGTAACAAGCCTGTCCGGATAAATTTCTGCCATCCTGAGCTATGCCTAAGTATCGCGCCCTGAAATCTAAAAAAACCCACTTTGCTCTAAAAATTCCAATATATGATCCAACCTTTTCTGCGATCTGACTCTATGGCCATGTATCTGTCGAACCAGGGTTATCAAGGCTGATGCTCGGTGAGGATAGCATTTGGGAGTAGCGAGAAACTGCGCGTGCGGTTTCCGCTACCTGTTTTTGAAAGTGCACAACGATTTTGTATTATTAGGAATATCAATTGCCTCCAACCGCCAGTTAAAGGGGTTCTCTGAATATAAATATAAACTTTTGTGTTTGGTAGCCGACTTGAGATATTATACGGTACTTGTGTTTGGTGAGACTAAATTTTTCACTGTATTCTATTCATCCTAATTTTTTGCTTCGGGTAAGAATTTTTGTTTCAAGACAAACTCCTTGTAGGTCGTCGTCGGTACCTTTCAAGTCAAGAAATGATATTTTCAATGACTTGGTACATGCAAAATTTGGAGGTTATTACATCTTGCAGATAAGAATGGCAACTTGTGTATTATTCTTTGTGAGTGGAAAGTGGATGGAATCATACCTTCGATAGTCTAGAGACAGGGCGTCAAAAGTAGGTTGTTTGAACATCTGACGTCATAAATAGTGAAGATTGTTCAAAGATGACCAGAGAAGAGAAAATGACATAAAACAGATGTAAAAAGCAAAAGAAACTGCTGAAAACCGGATAAAAACGCTGCAATGAGGCTTGAAATCTTTCATTTGGCGGTTTAAAGTGCAAGTTATCGCTTCAGGACCAGCAATTCTCAACACGGGGTTTTGATTTTTAATGCGTCCTTTAATTTTTACCCCCGTATTGACGTTCCTGTTTCCTGGAACGTTGTCTGGATTGTTGCGCTTATCGTTCTGAGCAACAATCGCCCAAGCTGGAAAAAAATCGATGCGAAAGCACTGAAACTGAACAAGGTAAAGAAAAACGCACTTTTTACGATTTTTCGCAAAAAATTCCGCCATAATCTAAGAGATAAGGGCTGCGTGGTTGTCTGCATTATGAACAGAATCAAGATCTATAGATTGCATTAAAAACCGCATGAAAAGAGTCAAACTAGAAGAAAAACAAGAGATTTTCGAAAACAAGGTTTTTGCCGGATTTCCTGATCAAATCAAAAAATATGGTTTTGGGACGTTGCCAGCGTGAAAATAGAGATCAAGAGTTTCAAAATGATATATAGCTCGCTAAAATTGGGTTCGAAACCGCGAAGAAAAGGATACCAGACGCCCCGCGTTTGGGGTAGCGAGGTAGCGCGCAGCGCGCGGAGACGCAGACGAGCAGCGGAGACAGACCAGAGCCGACGGGGCATTTGGCTCTGGTAGTAGATCTCCGCGGGGTCTCGACGAAACCCCGCAACGTTATATATCATTCTGATTGTCATGACACGACGAGGAGAACTGACAACGTCTCAAGCTTCAAAAACCACTCATTAACGAGATAGGCCAGAGTTTTCCTGCGCGACTCTCTGCGCAAGATTTAAGCGCAGTTTCTCGTTCTTATTTAACTCTAATAGCTTTTCTAGACTTCTGAAACTCGACTTTGTTCAAATGAGAGGTTAACTAAGAAATTATCCACAGAAACATTTTCAAGATAAAAAGGCTATAAAAACGCAAATTCTCGCTTTCGCTGAGATAAACTAAAGATTTTATTCCCCATATCTGCTTCATCAACAATCGTTCCGATATAACCAGGTTAATGACATCCGTGGCGAAGCCCCGGATGATTTCTGTTTTTTTTCCAGGTGAGGGTTGTGTCCCCTCATAGCCCTCAAAGAGAAAGTTACCAGAGTACATGGCTCTATGTATGGAGGGTTTGAATCCATGGGAATCCACGCACTGTCTACTGGACTCTACATGTGACTTGAACAATAATGCAGTGAAATTCATGCATAAAAAGGGTAATCTTAGGGTGCGTACTCACGCCGCATGAGCGTCAAAGTATGAATATTGGCGTGCGTTCTAGAGCCCTTGACAGTAGCCCAAATAAGTCTGAGGACATGAGTCGATCCGAAGTACAGCTAACGATTCGTGTTTTTAACAAAAGAAGCACGTACAGGCAACCTTTAAAACATCAAGTATGTGATTACTCCATGTGTAATTTGCATCATATGTACCCCGAGAATCGTCTAGCAGTTCATGTGGAGGAGCTGCTGCCAGAAACTCTCTTTCATCAGAAATGCTGAAGAGAAGAAGCAGCATGAAACAAACATATACATACAAATCAGATCGCTAGGGTGAGATGTCGATGACGAATAAGAAAATCACACATTGAGCGATTGATCCGTGGCTCTATGGGCTGTCCCATGGACGCCGAAGTCGTACTACGCACCTCACCAGAAAATGGTAGAGAAAATTTTCATAGCGCTTTTGTTGTTCATTTGTCTCTCTGTGCTGCAGCCGCATGATAATTCTTGTGCTTGTATTTACTGATGTTTTTTCGATGAATTTCGTGCCTCGCTGTGCTCAAATCTCTTAACGATCTCGGCCGTAAGTTTTTTCATCATAAGATTTACCATAAAGTAAGAAAGTATGACTAAAATGAATTAAGTTGTGCTTCCTTTTGCATTAATCAGTCTGTGGCATTAATTTTGGCGTACTCTGCACTGACCATCAACATTTCCATAAACTTCTAACTATAGCCTAACAATTTTCTTCTCTGAAAGTTTACAGTAAGGTTTAGCTGGAATTGGTATTAGCCCTTCTCTTTGATATTCTTACATGTGTCACACACCGATTTTGTCTTCAGGCTCTTACGATTGCGAGAAGTCAGAGAATCCATGAAGTAAAATTTCAGCCCTTACTGGTACAAAATAAGGAGAATATTTGCAACATGCGATAAGATGTTGTGCATGGAGCAATGTTGCTAAGTTCTTCAAACATTTATCACTATCAGAAAGCAATGGATATGTGCATAACAGGAGGTGAGAAGCTGACGCAAATCTCGTCAGTAAAACTCGTAAAGCTTTGAGCAAGAGATTCGCTTGACAAGAATATAACAAGTGTCACTGGGAGTCAAAATATTGAAATTAGATGAGTATAGCTTTGGTCTTAAATTCTAACGCCTTCAGCAGACGTTCCTTTGAAACTACCATACTTCTTGAAGAATTATTAGTGGCTCTATGAGTAGATGTGTATTCTGCGTTAGAGGGCCTAAATTCGCATACTTCAAATGCGGCAAAGAAAGTTAGAACGCTGAACGTACATTCCAGATTTCTTCTGATACCATTCCGGTAGGATCCTCTTCGCAATATGCTTGCCAAGAATTGTGCGAAAAAACGCTTTTCTGTACCTTTCAGAGAATAAATTGTACAAAACAGGATTGATGGCAGAGTTGGAATAGTAGCAGCATCCTTAATATAAAATAGAAATGAAATCACGAATCAGTTTACACGACGCAAGGCGATTCAAATGGACCATGTTTGGAAAGTACCTGATATGTTGAAGATTAAAGTGGAGAAAATTTCTATTGCTGGCGAAACATGTCCTTCGTTGTATGTCATGTACAGCGAAAGTAGACGTTGAATGTGAAACGGCAGCCAACACAGAAAAAATGAGACGACCACAGACACTGAAATAGGAATGTTTATTTCACAAAATCCTGAAAAGTTTGGCGCCAGCTCCTTCACAAAAATGGTAGAATAATGGAAAGTCTCACACTTAAAAATCGTTTTCTAGGCCATTTATCGTCGATTCATTGACCGCACGGACTGTTCAAACGCTGCGGACACGCGCGGTGCCGCTTGCGAGAGCATGAATTGTACAACAGCGAATTTGTATGAGCAAGGGTTTTACCTCGCGGCGCGTGCTCCGCAGCGATGTCCAGTCCGTGCGGTCAACGAATCGACTATACATAATGACCAAGTCTATACTTCATTGCGCGCAAGCCTTTTTATCATCATTCAAACACTTTAATAAAATTCTTAGTCAATGCAGATCCTGACAACTTTAGAAAAGCTCTCTGGCAAACTTTTTGAACCAGAGGTCACTTTGTCACTTGGGTAATTGTTGTTCTAACTCATTCGCAATGTTTTGGATATCCTTTGTCTATTATATGGAAAAGACTGTTAGATCCAGATACGAGAAGGATTTTTATTTTGTTTTTCGGATAAAAGTAAGAGCTATGTTCTCACAGCCTAATCATTGTTGTTTCATGCAATATATCCTGATCTTAGATTGCGCAAATATAAGTGTATCTTATATATGTATAAGAACGTCTGTTTGTATGTCTGTCTGTATGTCTGTGTGTACTTATGTTCCGAATAGAAAATTCCATTTCTGAACCGATCCGGACCAAACTTTGCACACATACCCTTCGGGGCCGGGCGGGTGTCATAGGCTACTTTTCGTTATCGATCGATATCAATTTTATCGATTTTTTGCAAAATTTGAGCTACGGGGCTGGGAGTTGGCACAGGGGGCAATCGAGCATGCTGATTACGAATATAATAATGACAGGGCCGTGCGGAGCCGGGTAAGTCAACTAGTATTCTCATAAACTCTTCAGTCGCTTATGATCTCTTATACCACCACCAGTTGGAGTACAAAGGTGTTGCAAGCAGAATCAACTTTGCTTCACATACGAGCTTCGATACAAGGCTAATTCACAGAACTACTACGTTCCCTCCTTTCAGTCCATTCATTAATTGTGAAAAATGTTTTTTCAGTCATGAAACGCTAGTTTTTGACCAGGAATCTACATGAAAAATTCATCGGTTTATCGCTCATTTAGCTACATTCTTACACTAGGCAGCTACACTAGGCGCTTTTCATGACCAGATGAATCTCTTGAAGGGTCCATCAACTCATCCGATACCGCAAACGTCTACTCACCAAGCATCTTGATCACATTTTGAGAAGCTCTTGTACGCTCAGCCTTTTTGTCCACGCATAGAAGCGAATCTGTCGATGCTATACGTAATGCAATGTGGGAGTACATCATTGTTATGAGAAAGGCTAAAAACTAGCATGATAATGGGAAATCACAAAAAAGTGAGTGCACTTACCAGGAATTACGAAAAATGCGAAAAACGCAAAGTAGATTATCTGTTTCTGGAACTTCTGTTGTGCAATGTCCATAGCACAGAATTCCGTTTTCATGAGTGTAGATCCGTCACTCGAGATCTGAAACATATTGATAACTTATCACGGCTTTGTTTACAATTAACCTTCTGTCAGTTGCAGACTGGGCCGTGATCCTGCTTGAAAAAAGGTTTACTAATGTGTGTGCTTTCAGTCAAGGAAAAGGCTTCCGGGCATTTGTCCCTTTCTCTGACTGATGCCCAGTTATGGTTTTTGGGAATGCCAAACTTTTGTTTATTTTAGCTAATCCATAAGAAACTTTGTTGTTATATGACTGGCTGTCTGATCTCGAAGTGAATCATAACTGCCGGCTTGTCCAAAACACATGCGACAAATTGGCAACTTGCTGGGACTATTGAAAGACTATATAACCAACACTACAAATAATGCAGGATTATTTGCATTTAGAAAGGACCTTGCGGTCGAGAATCCATAACGTTACGAACTATGTGAGGAATTTTGACGGAAGGGATTTTTGGCACTGTGGTTAAGTTCTCTCCCATCCCCGCCCTCCCCACCATGCCTATAAGGCCCAAGGCATACCTCACGCCAATTCAGTCGCCACGCAATCTGGCAGTTTGCCAGGTGTCTTCAGATTCAATACTGATAGACCCCAAAGGCACAGCACGTAAAACATTCGTAGGTTGATAAAATGCCCTATCTTCCGTACATTTAGGAACCTCTTACGATGAGTTATGACCAATTGGAGTATTGCCACATCGCGTCGCATGAGGTATGTTTTCGGCCTAAAAGGCGAAAGCTGCGAGCAACGTATAACATAAATGCGAAGTTGGGTGTGAATGCGATGATCTCAATCATATGGAAGGTTCCCGTCCCTTTCTGCTATGCGGGAATATGCTTTTGAAAGAATCAAAAAGACAAAATATCTTTGCTGTTGAACATACCAGATTGGTCCATGGCTGGTCCTGAGCCCAAGCAGGAAGTGGGAGACGGTTTATCTTAACGATGACACCAATGGGAAAGGCAGCAATGGCAGACAGCGCCCACATCGCAATAACAGTGAAGTAGGCTCTAGAGACTTTGGGCGATGATTGCGATCGAAGGGGGTGGCTGAATTTCAAAATCTATTTAGGTTTCGGTGTATCGTATCTCTGCTATCTAGATAGCTAGCTAACTGACCAAATTGCGAGCCATCTCTCCACAGTAAACGAGCAGATCACAAGAATCGAAGCATAGCTAGTGAATTCAATTAGATATGCTCGGCCTTTGCATATCCATTCTTGAAATTCATATGGATAGACGTAATCGATTATAGCATAAGTCTCCATGGGTAGACCTAAAACATCTACTAGCGCTTCGGCACTTCCAGAAGAGTCATTATACCTAGAAACAAGACAAGGAGATCGGAAAGAGCGAGGCTGAGCAGGTAGAAATTTGTATGTGTATGCATGGATTTGTTGCGAACGATTACCAAGCACGTGCATATGTTGCCGACAGCACCGACGATAAAAATTATTGAATAGGTGATCACAGTCGGGATCCAAATTGCCTTCTAAAATAAAATTACTTCATTATCAATTAGATCTAGGAGAATCCGTGATGAAAAGATCAGATATTTTTCTTGCAACAAATCAAACTGTCAAGGTAAAAAATTAGGGAAATAGCTCGAGGAGACAAAAACTGGTCTTAAAATTGTCTGAAAACGTATTTTATTTTGAGAACACTTTAAAGTGCTGCTCCTTTAGTGAAATCCAGTTAATTTGAAAACAGTCAATAATGTTTCTTTTGATTTTCATACAAAAATTCCGTTCTGAACTCTATTTTGATTGAAGGATGAAGAGAGAGCCACATAGGGATTAATATTTCTTTACATGGTTAGCACAGAAGATAAAGAAAAATCGAAGTTGTAATATTGATGGTTTACTTACCGATTGACATCGACTTCCCATGACATTTGTCACATAAGATGTGATGTTGGGCACTTCATACTGAATAGGACCGCACGTCATCTAGAATAGAAATAATTTGTCACAGAACTGTTCTTTGTTGAGCTTGAGAGACGTTGTAGATAGGACGGATAATCTCGACAGAAAAGTAACAGATGAAAAATAAGCGAACAATTTGAGATTCAGTGCCATATTTTCTGAGAAATGGGAGCCAATTCAGTGCCAAATTTTCTGAAAAATGGGAGCCAATCTCACATACAGGTGAGAAATTTTTGTAGTCAACCCCCATAGTAAAGCCTTTGTTTTCGGTTTTTTTAAGGCAGGAACAAGGCATTTGAAAAGTTCTTGGCTACAATTTGGTAAAACGAGATTGCAGGTGAAAATCACAAGATATGAGTTTTCATTAGAGAATAAACAATCAGGAAGGAGTCTTTTTTCAAAAAAAGCTTCCTGCATTCCAATCACATGGAGTCGGTGATTGGGATTTATAAAATTTTATTCTGTAGGAAGTTCAAGAGCAGAATTTTGAAAGCAAAAGTAAAATACAAGAGCTGTGTTTAGACGGTTTGTTTAGACAAGGAAGAGATTATGCATGAACGAGAAAAAATCTTGCTGCTGATAAACATAAGCAGAAACGATGCTGCTCTTGTGTGATATCCCAATCTGGAAGACGGTTCTGCAAGTACTAACTCAGGCAAATTCTATTTAGACTGTTACTGAGTACATGATGGGAACACACAAAGGAGAGATGTCGTGGCCTTTTGCCAAGTGTGGTGTACCTAAGAAGCTTAAAACAAACAATAATTCCAAATTTGTTTTCATTATCTGCAGAGCGAGTTTGGAAAAAGGTTATGGGAGCTTTTCGGAATACAAATTCAACAGCGCTCAAAATAAAATGATTCAGAACTTTCTTTCTCAGCTTAAAACGTATGTAGTGGTGATGACAGTGACAGAAATATGAACAGAGCGGGGTCAATGCAAAAATTTGACAGTTACCATACTTCAAGCAACCAGTTATATAAGTCTCAAAAAGACCGCAAAAAGAGTTTCGACGATTGAGGACAAAAAATTCAGCATTTTCTGACCTCCAAAGTCAAATATGATCTAGAAAGGCACTATGTTATGAAATTCTTGAAATTATTCGGTGGTAGCATAGAAAAATGAACAAAGCGGGACAAAAATGCAAAAAATTTCATACGCACCCCGAAAAATCCTCGAAGTGCCCAAACAATCTACTATTTATGCTTTGTGAGAAAACATTTATTACTGAACAATTGGAAGTGCAGGTACTCTTTACACTTACTGCTAATTTACCAACGGATATAAACAAAAAAAATCCAATAAATCTCAGTCTATGACGCATGAGCACAGAAATGTGCAACAAAAGTAGATTCGATTGAACCTAAGAATATGGGCATAAGAAATGAGCAATTGTGCACGAGAGCAGAATATAGAAATGTCAGTTGTTTCTTCAATATAAAGTGTGCGAGCATTAGAAAAAACAATCTATTCAGAAGTGCAGAGCACCGAAGTTGCAAGTCGTCTTTGCTACATATTTGACCGATGCAGTGCTTGCAAACAAGAGTTTTGTCATTATTCAACCAAAATCTTGATAGAGTTTACGAGGACGAATTGAAGAGTTGGTAAAAGAAAAAAATAAACGGGTTAAGAGCATTTCCAGATGTCTCATATTGCTTTGCATGAGTAAAATTCTTTTTTTATGTCCTTGTTCTTACTATAGTTATAATAAAAATGATTCTAGGGTTCACAAAATCACAAACCTTGAAGTGAGAAATCTAATAAAATTTATCTGATTGCTCGTGCACAAGTTCAAAGTAATTTCACAACTGTCAAATTCGTTCACGAAGGTAAGGTAAGGCCTTCATGTAATAATTCTGGTTTGCACTTTCATTAGCAATCGTTAGAATTTGTTCAAGCTCAGGCTCACTACTGAGAACATTGAAGGAAATTTTGAATTCCATCCCGTTATTTTGAAAATTGCAATATCTAAGCCAGGCTTACGTTGCCTTAGATGCAGCTCGATAGAATGAGGTTAAGACTAAGGGCTAACAGAAGCGTAATGGTTGAAATATCTTTGAAAGTAATTTAAGTTAAGGACGACTCATACGAATGCTCCTGGTTCATTGCCATTGTAGAGGTAATTTATATTTTTGCGACCTAGCAAAGAGTGTTTGCTTCAACAAGAACATTTATTGTCAGTGCCTATGACATAAAATAGGAATAAAGGACACCTGAGAGGAAGTGAGTGAAATTTTTCTTTTTCTTGTAGATTACGCTGCAGTTAGGAAGACTGTAAAGATTGAAGCCAAGAACAATGCAGCTGGTCAAAGCATGTGCATAGTCCTCACAAATGTACTTTTCATTGAGACTTTGGCATTATTCATTATTCAAGATTGGAGATTCTTTCTGAGAAAATATTGACGCTGGAAACTATAAAACTCGCCAAGATATTGTGCCCTATAGACAATCAGGCAATCGAAAGTGCAGAGATGGAAAAAAAAAACTCGATGATTTCATCTTGTGCATTCACATATGATTGGGGACCAATTCAAATAAGATGATGTCAGCGAAAAACCGATGGAATATACGGTTGAAAGGGCAACACACTTCAGATTCTGTTTACCGCCTGTTTATTTTGGCCATCCTCATCATTTCACAGATCTACTAGCATGCACTTATAAATCGAAAGCAATGCTCAGCGCCACTTCAGCCCCTCAGAGCAGATTTCACAGCCACTCCTCAAAGCTTTCGAAGTTTTACCAATGACTTAATACGTTTCGGACCGGTGCTGCACATGGTGCAGCACGATGCTTTGAAGGATCGTTTTGACGTTTACAGGAGGTCTTCTTTCAGTCCAAGAGTACCAAGTCAAAAGCCTAAGTTCCTACTTTCCAAATGACTCTATAGAGATGTGCCGCCATTAGTTGTTCAGGAGATATGAGGTCAAATCGAACAACAGTTGCAACGAAGTGGGGCAACGCAAACGACGCGTGCGACGTCGCAACTTTTCTTTGCTTAGATTTCAAAGACAAAACCCCTAGTTTCAATAGTGATGTGTACCGTGTACAACATAGATACTTCTGAATACGATTAGAAACTGAGTGCTTGTTCCTATCTTTCAAGAAAGCACGGAAGTCACTTTCAAGCAGCAAAATTCAAACACTTCAATTTCACTCAGAACTTTGGGTATGGAGCTTATCTGATATGCTGATTAGATGTAGCCTACAGCCTAAGAAATAAGGTCCCTTTGTCGGCTAAGGATTGAAAGTATACTCTTTTGCGTCGCGCGTGATTTCGCGGTCCGAAACGTGTTAAGTTGCATTTTGGATGTAGCCCAGTAGCAGTATCGAGAAGATTTTTAAACATTTTCTAGATATAATCAGCGTTTTCTTGTTATCAGTATTTATTTGTGTAACTTATTGTGATACATCATCTAACCAAGATTGTTATCTAGGCAAAGATCAATGTTGATTACGGAAAAACTGCGTTTTGTTTGTTTGAGAGTTTTGCGAGGATGAGAACTGATTAGGAGGTATATATGAATTTGTAATGGGCAGCTCTGAATTTGCCCTATCATGAGGGGGAAATTGATTAAATTGGATTAAAGATATTTATTATGTGCTTAAAAAAGCCAGATCAAGCAATTCTGACATATTAGGCGAAAAATCACTTATTCGTGAAAGATTAATCTACCCTACCTGACCTTCAGTCTAAGAGTACCGAGAATCCGGCTTGAGCCGGCTTCCTAGGCTCGCTATATTCATGTCAAACATCATCGGTGAAGTATTTACCGAACATTTATTCCTGCCGTGGAAAAACAAAATAGAGTTAGCAAAAAAGCAGCCATTGTAATGGGCTCCATAATACGCTTAGCGCTCTGTCTGTTTCAGTCAAATCAGTAGAATATTGAGCCGAAGAAAGAAGAGAGCGCTAATCCACCTTACCGCATTCAAAAATTCGATATACTTAACCGGATAGAGGGAATGGCTGAACCTTCTCCTTGCCGAAGGGCGCATCTTTTCTCAGCTGGACTACCGTCACTCTCCTTTCCTTTCTTATGTCAAGGACACAAGCATTTTTGTGGATGCGGCAAACGCTTCCTCTTCAAATATTACATGCCTTTTCCAAACCCACCAGAAAACTTCCTGAAACACCTTTGCTTTTTACACATATAATAATTATTTTACATACAACAGCCGTGACTTCGATGGAGCACGATTAAATTTGCAACACCACCTCCTTTGAAAGTTGCCCCTTTCTTGTAACAAAAAATTCAGTGTTAAAGTGCGAATTTCTTGGGGGAGATGCCAGTCAATTCCCCGAAACTTGAAAACCGAAATCGTGAATCATTGTCACCTGGAATGAAAAATAGTACGAAAAAAACTCTATAGATTTTGAACAAACTCAAGAATTATGAGGAAGCTGATGTAGAGGATTTCGAGCCGAGTTATTGTAATGAGGTTATGCAGGCGTGAAGATGCATTCGAAACGTTGGTGACGATGAAAAAGACAACTTCGGAATTTTTGAATTATTTGGAGTAAGAGGCGATGAATCAGAAGAGCCGCAGAAGGTGATACTAACAAGGGAAGTTCACTTAGTCAAAGTGGCGACTCGGAAGGAGATCTATACCAGTGGATAGAGCTTAAAAAGCTGATCACAGATATACCTTCTATATCTGCGATGCTTCGTTCTGAAAAAAGTTTTCTTATATTAGAAAGTAAAAAAAACAGCTTTTCTAAAGCCAAATTTTCGTGCATTTTGAGTCGCAAAACCATGATAATCGCTACACAAAAGTGAGCAAGCTTAAGCGAGCCACCTAGTAAGCATTGTAGGTCTAATTTGAGTTCATTCGAACGTTTTCGAGTGTTTTCCGACCATATTATTTAACCACAGGCCGTCATTTCCTTCCTAGATCACAGTTCCATTATATTAGGTTGAACCGAAAGTTCGTTCGCGCCATTTTCAAAAAAAACATAACTTCTTTCCATCACAACAGTTTTGCGCATTTCAAATTTTATAAGAAAGCGTAAAGCATGTAATT